GCAGGGAGGCAGGGAGGCAGGGAGGAAGGAAGGAAGGAAGGAAGGAAGGAAAGGAAAGGAAAGGAAAGGAAAAGAAAAGAAAAGAAAAGAAAAGAAAAGAAAAGAAAAGGATTGAAGGAGGGAAGGGAGGCAACCTTGATGTAATCAATCCCTATGACTCTGAATTAACTTTTCCAATCTTCAATTTCCCAATGAACAAAAGCCAGAAAAGAAAGGATTGAGTTTTGACGATGAGAACTTGCTCATCGTTGTGTCTGATCTATTCTTGGCTGGGTCAGAAACGACCGCAAGAACTCTCCAGTGGGGATTGCTCTACATGATGGCCTATCCAGAGATCCAAGGTAGGAAATAACAGCGGTCTTGACCGAACAAAATGAAGGAAAGCTTTTGTGAGTGATCTTAAATGCTGAGCAAGCCTGAAGGCCGAATGGGTGGAGAACACAATTTGGTGCCCCAAAGGTCCGAGGCTCAATCGTGGAGAATGGTCGGACTAGGGAATGAGCAATTATTAAATTTAAGGTTTTCTTAATGGTTTTTAAAAATTGGTTTAAATCTCAGTTTTCTTATTGACTAATTTTTAACTGTTTTGTAATATAGTTATTGAAAACTATTTTCAACCTTTGAGCCTGGTTCCGTTTTAATTGTTGTGACGTGCCTTGAGTCACCTATGGGGAGAAAGGTGCCATAGAAATATTATCAATAAATAAACATTACATAGATCAGGCTGTCCATTCTGGAGAAGAGGAAGCTTTGATTTGACACTGGAAAGGTTTGGCCGCATCCACGGCTGTTTAGCTGGGCCGCTCTCAACAGGCTATGTATTTCCCGACAGTGACAACATATGCCTTTAAAAGTATCATATTAAAGTATACATTGGTGTCACCTTCCATGAGATAAGTGACTGAGATTTTGCTCCTCAGAGAAATGCCAGCAGGAAATGGATGCTGTTCTTGGCAACAATGCATGCTTGAAATGTGATGATCGGGAAAGGTTGCCTTACACAAACGCCGTCATTCATGAAATCCTGCGGTTTTCAAGTGTGGTGGCCCTGGGGCTAGCCCATGCCCCAATCAAAGACATGATGCTTTCTGGATATGTAATTCCCAAGGTAAGACCAGACATGTCTGAGCGTGATTCATAAAGTCAAGCAGACATAGCCCCTTCCAAATGGCTCATTTTTACCCATCTCTTACATCAAGGATGAGGAATCTGCAAAGGTTTGGGCCTATAACTCTTTACACCTAAAAACATAGTCAGATCCTAGGGGAGAAACAAGAGAAGATAAGTGGCTGTTAATAACCAAGGGTACCTGTTGCATGGAGCAGAGCTATGCTTTGCATGCCAGGTAGCTGCTGCATCAAACTGCGCTTTGCATGCCAGTCACCTGGTTCATGGAAATAAACTATGCTTTGAAGCTGAGGAAGCTGCTGCATGAAGTAAAGCCATAGGCACCTGAAATTCTTCTTTTTACTCCACATCCCAGAATTCTCCATTCTGGGAATTCCAGCTGACAGACCGGTGACTTCTGCTCACCTGGGCTGGAAGGCCTTGTGGCCCAGAACAGGCCAAGCTCAGGACTAGTTCCTGTTGGGAAAGGTCGCTGCCCTCTGTTCTTGCTGGGAAACGTGACCTGAGCTTTGCATATCCTGAGCTTTTCAGTCTAGCCTTCCTCCATCAGAGCACAATCCTGGTGCCTGCCTGGCCTTTGGAACTCCTGCCCACAGGGGAAAAACACACATACACAGAAATAATGTTGCATCTCTACTTGCAAGCTGGGGAAACAGATGGGCTACAGGATGTCTGCCCATCTTGAGATGTATCTGTATTTAAACTGTACCCATTATTTCTAAATTGGCATCAATACTGTGTGCTTTGTCCATCAGATGGGATTCCCCAAAAAGGGAATTCTGGCATTTCGTAACCCCTGCCCACAGGAGAAAAACACACACACACATAAATAATGTTGCATCTCTACTTGCAGGCTGGGCAAACAGATGGGCTACAGGCTGTCTTGCCCATGTTGAGATGTATCTGTATTTAAACTGTAGCCATTATTTCTAAATTGGCATCAATACTTATAAATCAGCACATGCAAATTCTATGCAAATCAGTCTCCTCTTGCCCTTTCAAGAAATGTCAGAAGCCTGTTGCATATGAATGCCCATGGTCATGCCCATAAGTCAGAACAGATAGGCCTTACCAGACAAATAATTTACGTTTGACAGCCAGTGCCTCTATTGACGCATTATAAAGGTAAAGTTTTCTCTTGACATTTAGTCAGTTGTGCCCGACTCTATGGGGCGATGCTCATCCCGTTTTCAAGCCGTAGCACCAGCATTTGTCCAAAGATCGTTTCCGTGGTCACGTGGCCAGCACGACTGGCACGGAATGCCATATTACCTTCCCACCGAGGTGGTACCTATTTATCTACTCGTATTTGCATGCTGTCGAACTGGTAGGCTTACATTTGACAGGCAATACCTATGTTGATGCAACTGGCCACTGAAAGTTTCACAAGTGGAGTAAAGCCAATGAGTGTCCCTCTCAGGCATCTGGCCAGTCATGTTCATGTCTTTCTGTGTAATACAGTCCCTTCGGTTTTTTGTAGGGAACAGCAGTGGTGATTAATATTCACGCTATCCATCATGATGAATCCCTGTGGAAGTCCCCAAATAAATTCGACCCTTCTAACTTTCTGAATGAAAAGGGAGAGTTTGTGAAGCCGGAAGCCTTTTTAGCTTTTTCAGCAGGTAAATCCTCTGCCTTTCTCTCTCTCTCTCTGTCTCTCTCCCCCCCCTTCTTCTCTTGTTTTATCATTTCATAAAGGAAATAAAGGAAAAAATAAAGGAAAAGTGATCCATCATGTGACTATAGATTTAACTTCTGGGAGGTCACATCTCTGCTGGTGGAAAGACTAGGAAGCATATCTATTTCCTAGTTTTTTTCCCCTTTCTTATCTTTCCATCAACATTTTTACTCCAAAAGAGCTCCTGACATGCTGACTCAGTTCCTCCCTCCCTAAAGGAACATAGTGGCAAAGAAGGAAAAATGAACGGGGAGGGAAGAGGAGGAAAAAGCCAAGACAAGCACCCAGTCTGATGCTTAAATCCTGGTCCTTCTCCTGTCAGTGGGAAAGAGTTGCCGCTTGGGAGAAGATCAGAGAGCTTTTCTCTCGAGAGGACGAGCGGAATGGCAGGGCTTCCTTGCTGCTTCTTTATTCCTAGCAGGATGGAATGACTGTTACCTGGCTACAAACAGCACAACAGCCCTGCCGTGCAGGGCCTTCAGTGCAGAGGACCAAGTGGAGTCTCCCTCTGCTTCTGCCTCTCATCTCATCTCTAGCCATCACCAGCCTTGTTGTCCTGGAGCTGACGTCCCCTTTCTCTTTTCTCCCTTCCAGGCCCAAGGGTTTGCTTAGGGGAGAATCTGGCTCGGATGGAGTTGTTCCTGTTCTTCACCAGCATGCTGAGAAACTTCCAGGTCTCCTGGCCGGATGAGTCAAGCGCGCCGGACTGCACACCCCAGTTTCACGGCGTCCTGGCTCCATTGCCCTTTAAGGTGTCACTGAAGCAGCGCCAGCAAAAATGAATTGAGCAGGACGCCCTTATCAGGGGGAAGTGTTACCAAGCCCCCATCCCACCAATGCTGATAAACACGGATTATAGAGAAAACTATTGATTTGACTGATCTCGCTGACTAAGCAGGTGTCCCCTTCCTCCTTCACTGCAAATAGGCCCACACCTTCCATTTTATATACAAATGTAATTTTGTTTGTACTTTGGACACTGTGAGCAAATAAAACATTATTACACGGGAGAGGCAAGGTTAAGGGAGAAGCATTTACATTTCAAGTGGCTACGCTCTGCTTTCTCCAAAGCTGAGGAACGTTTTCCCCACTGAACCCCATATTTTTATTTTCGGCTCAGAGTTGTGCAAGACCCTTCCGCCATCTGCTTCCAGAGTTTCTATAAACAAACCACAGCCCAAATCCCCCTGCCTGGGCTGTCTTTGCAAAAGGGGAACCTCCAGAATACAGCCAAAGTACTGCTAAGATGAAACATCACCGCCCAAAATAGCTTGCTCTGCAATCCACTCTGTGGCAAGTATTTCTGGACATTCCTTTGCCGAGCAAATTTAAAAGGAAATAAAATCCAAGACTTGCATTTGAAAAGTAATACGTATTCTGCAAGGAGGGACTTCAGGAAAATAACATCCCAGAAGGATAGTTTTCAAGCATCTCATTCAGAGAAACGCTGCTATGGATCATGAATGTAGGACTGTAGTCATAGGCTATCATCCATGAATTAGTCTAGCCCCCTTTAAAGCCTCCCTTTAAGTGAACAGTCGTCACAATGGTGCATGCCACTATGTAACAGTCCAGCTATTTTATGAGCTTAATTTCTGAGGAAGTGGCTGGTTTTGTTATGGGAAAAAGAAAGAAAATGAAACCAATGTGTAACATTTTAAACACATACAGATAATTGGTTTCTTTAGAAAAGGGCTTAGAAAGTGGAAAATCACTGTTGTACAACTCATTTTTGCCATTCGGCAATTGCACAATCTACCACATTAGGATGATAAACAATGAATGTGCCATTTCTTTCGTTTGTAGGATGTGGAGGGAGAAGGAAGGCGACAAAGCATTGGTCTATAAACCACACAAAGCAGCTTTCTCTGCATAAATGTAAATGACAAAGGTTTGATGAACAAATACAATATTAACAAAAAGCTACAACATAGATACTTTTGCTGAATTTTGCATTTTTTTTGATGCACAGCAGAAGTACAGAAGGCTCACAGAAGAGAGCAGCATCAAATTCCTCAGACAGTCTGCCCCTTTCTCATCAACTGGCACTTTTAGTCTCAACAACTCACTCTAGTAGTAGAAGAAAGAATAAAAACGTTGCTTACAGTTGAGAACAGATAACAGTAAACGAGCAACCCACATGCTAACTGATTTCAACAGACAAAAGAGAAGGAAAGAGTACTCTCAGCAGAATACTGGGGCTCTCTTTGAATTCTGAGACAAAATAGGATTGGTTAGTGCTGGACTGATGTATAGCTACCCCAGCCCTGAAAGGTCCCTCCCAATCAAATCTATTAAAGGCAGAATGCAAGGTTGTAAAAACTCCATCGGATTCAAGACACTTTCACGGACAGGGCAGCGATCAGACGGCAAAACTGCTCATATTTTGGACCGCTTGCGGCATGGCCTGGTGAAAGCTATTTCCTGGCAATTGTGCAATGTACATGCGATTGCAAACCAGCCTGACCTGATCTGCGTCCAAGCTGGACTTTTTTTGTTCTAGCGGTGGGTCCAGTCTTCTTGGGGCCAGGCTGGAGCAATTCCTGCATGGACAAAAGAGTTGCTCTAGGGGAGCTTGCTCCCAGCAAAACAACCTTTTCCAGTGCAAATAGACACGGCCCTTTCTTGCCTTCTGTTTGCACCCTAAATTCAGGGGGAAAGACATCCAAAGATATGGAGGAGATAGGAAGAAGGGCTTTGGGGCCAAATCCTGAAATGGCTAGTAACTAGGCAAGGCCTATTCACTTACAGGCCTTGCCGTGTGTATCTTGCAGGAGTCATTGGGATGATCAGGGTCCAAAAGAATTTTTTTAAAAAAATCAGCACTATCAGCTG